GCTATAGGGAGATAAGGGCCAGGAGGTGCATTGGGCACAGCAGAGGCATGGCATGGCTGCCCAGGGAAGCAGCCCATGGTAGCTGTTCCATATCTGTTCCTCATGTGGGTGCTGAGCTAAGGCTGAAGATGCCTTTGTGCAGCTCTTTTTGGTAGCGAGTTAATTGAAGCAGACACGGGCATCTTCAGCAAGGAGTGAAAGCGGTGAGTCATACCAAGATGAGTCTTGTGATGTGAGTTCACGTCCTAACTGCTTTCCTGTAGCTTTCCCAGGATGATGTGAAGGCAAGGTATTGGGGCTCAGGTTAGGGTTTGAGTAAGAGGGAGCTGGGTAGATTTGAAAGCCAAAAATATTATTGCTGTAATTGCCAAGGGTAAAAGATTTACCTGCGAAGAAGCCCTTAGCTGGCATCCTGACGAGGGCTCTTGGCCTTAAAGAGGGTCTGCTGGGGGGTAGTACTGAGCTTACGAGTGAAAATCCTGACCTAACAGGATAAGCCTTCCCTCTGAAACATCAGAACCAGGACACTGAACATGCTGAGGGACACGACTGTAATTTCTGGTGGCTGCTGACACAGGGCAGAGTTAGGCAGGACTCATCTCTTTACTGTTAAAAGCCTCTGCAGGCAATGTGGGGAGTCCCATGGGCAGCCTGCCCCAGACCAAAGAGCATGAAAAAGCTTCTGTCTGTCTGCTGCTTTTTAATACTGGTGCCCCTTAGGACCTTGGTTATAAAGTCACTCTAGAGCTGGTGAACTGAAGGCGAGGGAGCAGCAAGCATAACAGACAGCAGTCTCTGGTAGCTGGAATTTGGGACCCCTACTCATTCCAGGTTCAAGCACAACCCGCCCAAATTGCCCCTCCACTCTTGCAACCTCCCTCAGCTCTCTCCCTGTCCCTCCTACCTGTAGCCTCTGTCCCGGTAAGGACACAGTCTGAACGCTGGCAGAGAGCAGAACTAAGAGGAGGAAAAGCGAGCAAGGCCACGACTGGAGCCCCAGCATCATCTTCTTATCCCAGGACCTGCAGCATCTGTGCCAGATGCAGTCCCTGGCCCCTCTTTGCCTTTATAGCTTTGGTTCTGGCAGGCGCCTGGCCCCCAGCTCTCTGCTGAACTACCCCCCTGGAGCTCCTTAACCTTTCAGCCCTTTTGTCCAGGGTGATATATTTCAGGGTGAGCTCAGCAAGACCCCTTCCTCTAAAGAAAAAGGACACAAAGGTGTTTACTGAGTGTCTGGGAAGACAAATGTAAGTTGAGCTGCTGCTGGCCAGGACCTGGAGGTATCTGTCAGGGTCAGGAACGGGGTGACACTTTGAGACACGTCCCAAAGAAGGATATTGAAGGCTGCATTGTATAGTGATATTGAACATACTCCTCGTAGGCAGAGTGCTGTTAATGCTATTTCTCTAATCATTGTGAGCATGAACTAGCGGTAGTCACACTGCTGGCTGCACAGAGCTGACACAAATTCTGCTCTGTGACAATACAGGCTCTCTTGTTTTTTATATTTCTATCTTAGTGAGCCGGATGGCCTGGGAATGAAGAGATCTTGCTACAGAAGGTGTGTGAATTCCAGCACTAACTCTACAGGATTTGTGGCGGTGACAGGAGCGTGGGTCTAGTACTAGCGGTCATATAACTTGCAGGCTGGTTGTCCTGAGTCACTAACGTACACCATCTGGAGGGCTGGGCTGAGTTTCCAGAGGAACCAGCACAGAAAAGAGCTCGTCGAGGCTCAGCTTGCACTTTCTCAAGCTCAGGCACACAATGGAAGCGGGACAGCAAGGAGCAGATTCCTGCCTCTTAAATCTTCTGGCCATTAGTTTCCCCTGCTTTGTTTACCTCCCCCATTTTACTGTAGTTTCTCACCGCTTGAACAAGGCAATGAGGTCACTGTTTGGAGACCAGGGTGCAGAAGTCAGCTTGGGTGTGAAGACAGAAACTAATCAGGAAAGTTTGTCAGGGAAGAGAAAGTGGGGGGATTGTACCCCTCATACAGGATTAGTAGTGGGTGTGCTGGGTGAGGTTAGTAACACCTTAAACTTCCCTTTCTTCACTATTATATTGCACAATTAGGACAAAACTTGATAGGCAGTGTTCTGCTTGCTGTCTGCTTTTTCTTATTTTTTTTAAGGAAAGAAGAAAAATAGAAGAAAAAAAAGCGCCTTTTGCAGAGATAACTAAAGTCGTAGTTCAGAGATTTGTCCTGTCTTTCTTTCCCTCCTTCCCTGCCTTCCTTCCAAGCATTTTCCACTTGTAGATGCAGATCTGTGGGTCCCTTTCTGCTCTACCCAAGGAGCCAGAAAATTTTATGAACGATTTTGGATCAAGTCCATGAAAAGTGAGTGTGGGGCTTCAAGTCTGGACCACCAAAGCTGGAAGAAGGAGAGACTTTGCACAGGTGAGAGCATCCAAGTATGTTAGCTCCACCTGACACCTGCAACCCATGGATGGTGCTGGTTCCAGAGCAATGCTCTGGTGATCCCATCTGTCACCCTCTCACCTGGGCCAGCTGTCTGAGGCATGCCAGCAAACAGAGGGCCTCCAAGACATTGCGTGGGGAGCAAGATTACTTTCATACCAGCCTTTTAAACCACAAAGCAGAGGTGACTGCTGGAGAGACATTCACGTGGACACTCAGACAAGGTGCCTGTGTGCAAATGGAGCATGGGATGTGTGCGCACAGCCAGCTCTTCCGTGTGCTGGATGTGGTAGGGTATGGGACTTTGCGGTGTGAAAGTTTCAAAAGGGTGGGAAAGAGAGGAAGGAGGATGGGAACTGAGCACATGTTCATCCCACATGCAAGACATCCCAGAGGATGTTCTGTACTGCCTAGTCGCATTTGACCATCCAGAAACAGCTGAGTCAGTCTACTAGAGTATTCATGCTCCTGGCAAGACAGCTGCAGGCAGATGCATCTCATGCTGAACACACAGGTTCCAGGAGTCAACTCTTTCCTGAGTGCAAGGTGAGTATAAAAGCAACAATGCTTTAGTTTCGATACAAAATGTAGCAGTGGTTTGATCTGGCATCCTCTGAATGTGGTGGCCTCCATACTACAAGAAGAATGCCAGAAATGTGTTTTGCAACTTCTCCAAATTCCAGCCTACTTGCATGCAGATTGAGCCCTACAGGGATGGACAGGCTCTGAGCTCTCAACTGATGGGCCCCCTCCTTGGGTCCAGCAAAAGCTGCGGCTAGCAAGAGGGAAGCAGTCATCACTGTCCCATACCAAGCAAGAAACTTCAGAGACTGTAGAAAACTTGCAATTTCTTGCAAATTTGCAAATCCAGCAAAGCCTGGATAAATTGCAGGTGCTCAGTGACTCAGGTGCCATGAAGTTACAGCTGCTCTGCGTCCCAGATCCTTGCTGGGACTGCAGTAGAACTGAATATTTGCTCTGACATGTCCTGGCAATGCCTGTGAAGTGGAAAGGCTTTGGCAGGCAACGAGTCCCCGATTGCCCCAGTTTTCCTCACACTCAAATAGGTTATTGTCCTCCTTTCCTCTCTGGTGCTAACAAGTTTCCTCTGTAAAAACCATTCCCCCCAATACTGGGGTACTGATTCCAGAGCTTGCAAGACCACCAGAAAAGTGGTCTCCTCATGAATCACGATTAGTCTTTTAGAAGCAGAGTTGCTTATAAAGGAAAGGAGCAAGGCAACTGGAGAGTGAAGGGAGTAGGAACCGGGTGAAGTACCCCAGGGAAACAGCCCTTGGCCCATGGTGATGCAAAGGGCTGATGGTTTCTACAGGCTCTAGAAGCAAGGATGATATTCACATCATTCCACTGGTACCATGTGCAGGAGTCTGGAGCCTACTGTGGTCAGGAGTCCCTCAGAGAACCCAAACACCACTGATCTTGGCACTGAGTAATCCCATTGCCTCGCTTCTGAGGCAGTGGGATTACTCCTTCAGTAGCAACTCCTGGTCATCACGGCAGCCACCCAAACAGCTGCTTGCAAGGAACGGAAGAGCAGCAACTGGCTGCTTAAGGCAGCAGCCAGTGTGCAGCTGTTCAAACCCCTCTTGGTTTTTGCTTCATCTTTCTGCAGGACTTCCTTTGTCCATGACACAGGATTGCTAATTGCTCCAGTGCCAGGGTGGTCAGCGAGGAGAGGGGGATGCTCCACCTGAATGGTCTGCAGAAAAGGACCAACAGGAGCTCCCGCTCACTGACCTTCCACTCTCACTTGACCGGGCAGTGCTGTGCCCAGGGAAGAGCAAAAGATGGACTGTAAAGCAGTGAAGGAACCACTGTGTCAATTCAGTCATTGACTGTCAAACCCTCCTTCATCCCAAGGCAGCTGGGCAGCTCTCCTGAAGGATAAAATTTAACCACTTGTAGTGGAAAAGCATGGCCTGAAGGTAAGCCAATGCTTAAGACAGTTTTATGGCCACCATGTTTCTTCTATCCACCCATTCGTATCCCAGTCACTGCAGTATTGTCAACATATTATCTCATATATATATAAAAAAAAGATTTACTGCATAGACTTGTAAAGCCTTGAGCTTGGATAGAAATCCATATTTACTGTCCTTTTTTTAATTCCTGAGTGACATACCCTGTGGGCAGTGACAGGGAAATCACATACAGCATGCATGACTGTGCATTGCATTTACTGTTAATGCCGTAGCTGCTGCCTCTGTCTCCTGTAGCCTTCACTGAGTATTTTAGCAGGGAAGATGGGCAAGAGGGACAATACTGCTGCAGCTTTCTGATCTTTGTATTTCATGTGACTATCCTGTTCTTATCAGGGTGCTCTGGAGTTGGAGGGGGATGTAGTATATTGGTATCTGGCTATTACACTAGTGGCTGCAGTGGGGCACATCTTTCCATAGAGTCATGAGACTTGAGGGTGGTTTTTGATCCACATGTCCCAGGCCAGTAAATAATGCCTCTCATCCCCTCATCTACTTGGTTCTGCAAGCATCTATCATGTTTACATCCATTCAAGTTATTAGCATGTAAAAAAAAAAAAGTATTGCCAGGCCACTGCAAAGCTATGGAATTTCTAATGCTTTATTTTTGTTGTTAGAAAAACATATATATATAAAAAAAAAAAGCTGTGGTAGTATTATCACTACTTATGCAGCCAGGCCAGAGGAGAAACAAACAGAGGGCTCTACTTACTGGTGAACCAAAGGTGACCATGACGACTGCAGGAACTTGGTAGATCCTCAGAGACAGAGAATGCAGAAGATCTGCAGGAAACTGCTGATAGGAGGACCCTTCTGATTCCTGCCCAGCTAGTCACTAGTCTGCTTTCTAGGCAACTGACAGGTAGGAGGAAATAATTCTGTGCTAATGGCTCTGGGACAAATGCCAATTTGCCTGTGAGATAGGAGGTTAAAGGTTGGTTGTGTGATTAACACAAATTCAAATTTAGGGCACTTCATGTTCACATGGCCATCCAAGGAGTGCCAGGACTGATATGAACACTGATGTGGAATTCCTGGAAGGAAAGAGCTTAAGTGCCAGTCTTACTTGAAACAAAATTTGTTCTTGTTATTTTTGTTTGTTTCCTTTTTTAAAAAAAACCCAAACTTTTAGAAGTTGCATTTTTTTCTTACTTACTTTGCATATTCTCTGTTGAAGCACTCTAGCTAATAGTCTAAGTTAGCCTTTCTCCCCTTTTCCGTCTAAATCCACTCAACTCTTCTTTGAGATCATCTGTACAAGAAAAAGATGCAGGTAACTTCCCCTCAAAGCCCTGCTGGGCTTTGCAGGCAAGAGCTTCAAAAAGGATCAAACATAAAATGGCCTAAACCTAGCAAGATCATATCGGTCCTTTGTTAAGAGAAGCTGACTGGTGTACTCATAACCACGTACGAAAGGGGAAGGGAATGAGCATTTTGTACTCAGTGGTTAGTTTGGCTCTTTCTAAGAAGACTTTCAAAGATTTTTTTTTTTTTAAATGAGAACAGATTGCTTTCATCTGCAAAGCCAGGGCAAAAAACAGTCAACGTGGCAGCTATGTTCACCACTGCCCTTCTTTGTGGAGATATCAAAAGACAGGCTTGGAATTGCTTTAGCATGGTGTGTAACTTCCATTTTGTCCTCATTTAAAGCACTCTCATGTTATGGGGTAGTTCAGACAAGAGAAGACGACTGCTACATAAAATGAGTTTTATTTTTAGTTAAAGATAGTGGCAGATGGTTCCCTCAGCGCAGCCGGCAGGCTGAAGATCTGGTGATGGGAGTTGTTTTGGTGGGGGTTTCATCCTCTTTTAATTCTGCCGACAACTCTAAAAGAGTAAAATGTGTCAATAACCAGCACTCCACCACCTCAAACAGAAAAATCTACAGGCAAGCTAAGCAGTGCTTTGAAGCCCTACACACCTTCTGCCTATTACCAAAGAAACATCCCTGATGGGCCCAATCTATAGTCTTTCTCCACTTTCACCTTTTGAGCATACATGTACAATGCCTTACCATCCTCAGAGCTGTTCTCCTCATCGCTGGAGAAGGTGATTATAGCTTTTTTGGATGGACGGCCCTTTTGGACATGCTTATGGTTTCGGAGGGTGCGAGGCTGGGGTGTTACAAAATCTTCATCCCTGTTGGCCGTGCTCAGGGGCTGGCGGCGTGAACCTGCCAAGAAAAAAAAACAAACACATTTAAAACCAACAATAAAAAAAGGCAAAGGTAGCAGCCATTCTGTCTGTGAGGGTGAGGAAGAGTCCCTAGGTGTCTCTGTTGGACTGCAGGATTGGGGAAAGGCTGCAGTCTCACAAGAGGAACATACTTGCTTTTTGTTTCTGCTTGGCTGGCTCTGGCATTGGAGTTTCACTACCTTCCTGGCATGTCTCTGCCGAATCCAGCCCTTGGTTATGGGAGGCAGACAGCTTCTGCTCCAGCTCTTCAGCCAGCGCCTGATGGAGACGGAACAGAGTGGGGAAAAACAAAACAAAACAAAACTTAAAAAAAAAAAAAAAAAAGAGAAGGTGGAGGGGAGAGAAGTATTACATCCATAACAGAACTGCCATCAGGTTCTCTGATAAACTGTTGGAGTAACCTGCTTAATACAGAGAACTGCAGGGCTTTCCAATCACTCTGTGTGTGTGTAAAAAGTAATCTTTTTCCTGGCCTGGATACTTGCCCCCCATCCTTACTTTAGTCTCAGGTTTGCCGCCTGCTCTGCGGAATCGAGCCAGCACAGTTTGGAAATAACTGTAGACAGCTGGATCTTGGAGCTTGTCTGCAAAGCAGTCAAAGTTGTCCTGCAGCTTATGAAGGCCCCGTTCCGAGATGGGAAGCAGAGTAAGGCAGTAGGACAGATCCCGATATTGACGTTCAGTTCTGGGAAAGACAAAAAGATTGCCCTTAGCTCTTACAAAAAGGAGTATGTAAGGAGGAGCACATCCTACCTAGAAGTATAGCACATGAGGACAGAGAGTTTCCTGCAGGTGCTTCTGCCCTGCAGAACGTGAGATTCAGGTTGTTCTGTTACAGGTCAGTTACAGAGTGCCGTGCCATACCAACCGCTTCACCACCACCACTGTATTCCATCAAAGACACTGAGTTAGTGTCTGTCAGACAAACGTGAAGGCTTCACTGTTAAAGAACAGTCGCTTGTTTAAAAAAGCATCAGAAGTTTTTTCCTCCTAGCTGGCAATATTACACTCAGTGAGGTGACGACTCTTCTTGAAGGGCCTTATTTCAACCAAATAATAAAAACCCCATGGCTGCTCATTTTTGCACGTTTGAGAAGCTTTATCTGATGTTCTCTCTCTTTCCTGGCCAGTTACATAAGGAAAGCCATTTTCATTAAGATAAAAAATGAATAAAACCAACTGCTGTTTCAAAGAAGCACTACATTCAAATTCTAGCAAAAGTTCAAAAGCTGGGGGGGGAGAAGCACCCCCTCCAGCACACTAACATCCTTAATGTAGCTCTCTGTGATGGAATGGGAGGAAAAAAAGTTAGGCCTAAAGCCCAGACAGATAGAAAACAAAGCTGCAGCATCCAGGTGTTTCCACGTCTAAAGTCTGAATGATACTTGGCATGTTGCTATGTTTAGAGCTCCAGAAATGCTGAGGAGGGTGATGGTGGCTGCAAAATCTTTTCTGATAAGCTCCTCTTTTAGCCTGGAGTGAGAGTCTAATGCACACTAGCAGTAATGCTAGAGCAAAACTGATCACCTTTGCTGTACAGAAATATTAGGGCATTTTAGTAAAGGCTACACATGGCTTACACACAGATGGTTCTTTACAAATGTGGTGTGAAAAGCTCACCAGTGTTCCTGGGAGGCAAATTTTGGAGAGAGAAGCCACTCTCTGCTCCAGCTCAGGAAACAAAATCCAAATATTTCTGGGGAATATGCAACTCCCCAAGGCAGCTGAGCAGGTCACATGCCCAGGCACTGTGTACAAATGGCCAAGATAAGCAGACACAGCTTAAACCTCAAGGGCAAAGCCACAACAATGGAGAAGGAAAACCACAGGAATGGAGGAAGGCAGGGTGCACCAAATTCAGTGGAAGGTAACAATGAAGATACCACTGAAAGTACATGAATGAGGCAGGTAAATTTCTATTATCTTCTTGGATATTAAAAAAAAAAAGTACATCTGTGTCAGTGGAGTTACAGCTTGGGAAAAGGAGCAACAACAAAAAACCCCAAAAGCCAGGAAGCAAAATGATATCCCAGATTCATGGGATGGGCCCGGCAATATATACTCCATAATCAGCACCATGAGCAAGGCAGGTATACCTTGGAGACAGAGCAAAGACATAAATGTACAGTGGCACAAGCCCTCAAATAAGAAAACGGAGTCCCAGGCATAGAGTTAGTACTGCGCAGCCCATGCACACAGAACGAGGCAACTAGGTAGGTGAGATCACCCCAGGCAGGACTGCTGGGGAGATCCCAACTTCTCAATTGAGCACACTGATTTCTTAGCCAAGATGCAAGGGAATAAATAGCCTGTGAAGAAGGACCACAAATGTGCGTAAAAATCATGTGAGGCATCTCCTTGCTCAGCTGTAATGCAGATCTAAACTGTCACAAACCTTTTCCCTAAGAAAGGAGGAAAGGGAGAGGGGCCATTGCAATGTAACAAGACCAGAAGCCTTAATTTATATCTATTCATGTATTTTTAGGAGGAAGATAGAAAAAGAAAGAAAGAGGGACATAATCCAAGTTATGTCAGCATTTGTCACTTTGCCATGTGAAGAACATGATGTGAACCTGTTAAAACCAAGCTAGCTTCTTGTAACAATTCCTCAGAAGCAGACCTGCTTGTCAGGAAAATTAGGATTACAACCCACCTGGCAGTCCGGAACCGCTGACAAAGTTTCTCCACCAAGCTCTCTGTCTGTTTGTCTTTTGTAATATATGAGAAGAGATGTCTGCAAAGGAAAAAACCCAAAAGGGCAAAGTTGAGAGCCCAGAGAGGAAACCCCATTTCTGCCTACACCATGGGATGCTTGCAGCTATCCTATCCAGCGATCAGCTCGGTGGTCCTTCAAAAGGAGACAAGAGAGCTCTGCATGCCTCAGACTTGGTTCAGGAGGATCTATAAGCATATATGTAATTTCAAACAGTAATCACAGTCCCTGTTGGGGGACAGCTGCTATGACATAACATATAATTCAAACTGCATGTTTGCATAATAGCACCTGCCTAGGGTGAAACTAAGAAATCCAGCTAAAGCAAAGATCCTTGCAGGTCTGGAGTGAGAAGTACTAATATCTGTGCAGGGTCTGAGGTAAGAGGGAAGCTGAGAAAGCTGCAGTGTCAACTTCTGATCAGCTCCTTCCATCCAGTTTTAAGAGCATACAACACCTCCAGACTATCTCCTCACTTCACAAGTTACTCTGGCAGACTACTATGTCTGACAAGCAGACCTTGAGGGGAGAAGGGAGGCATGCAGTATTTTTTATTCCCCTCAAAACAGTTCCTGTGATTTTTTTTCATTATCAGTTTGCTGAAGGTGTGTTGCTGTATTTTGGATCAATGCGAAAGTGAGTGTTACTTTGCACTGAAGGGGGAATAAAGCCCAACAGAACTTAAATGCTAACCTGATCCCACATTTTTCTTCGCTTCTTGAGGAAGAGAGAGGCATGGACATTAGCACAGTTAAGTACATCTGCATTTTGCATGATGTCCTCATAGATATCACTGAATAACTTGTATTTATTAAGGTGGTCCTGCTGGCCTCCCTTCCTCCCTTTTTCTTGAACCAACGTTTCTGCTAACTTAAGCTCAGTCAGGTTGCCACTGACCTTGATATAACTGCTCTAAGCACATCCTTGTTTGGTCTTTTGTTATGTCTACAACCACCACACCAAGCTTCTTTTCTAAGATAAAAGACTGTATCCTCAACAGTCCTCCCTTTGCATCTGTTCCAGCATCAGTTCATCTTTTTTTAACTTCAAGTGACCAGAACCGTGGTGGCATTCCAGCCAAGGTCTCACCAGCACTACCAATGCTTCCCTATACATAAACAGAAATAACCTGACTGCTAAAATAGCAAGTGGAATGCATCTTTAACTTAGCCATAGCTTTACAGCAGAGGTTAAACAATTTCTAAACATTCAACCTTACACTGTTCTGCTAGTTTTCACCTCAGTTATTACTGTAAACCCTTTCATTGTGCACAGGTTAGTCCCTTAACAGTGATGCTCCCCCCCACTATCCTTATCTTTTTTACATTTTTCTATTCTCCAGTCTGGCAGGTATCCCTGGAGCATAAGACACAGTGCTTCCTTCCTAGCCTGTGCTTTTGTCCACCATGCTTTCTGAGTTAAACCAGATCCTCTCCACGATGTAAGCATGTCATATGAGAAAATGGTTCAGTTTCAACAATTATTCCCTTTTTTCCCCATTTAAGGGATATGATGTGGTGTGCTAACTGATGATCAAGTCTTCTTTAAAATTAATTAGCTTTAGACTAATTTGATACCCGTCTACTTTGTTAAAATCAATACTGCATTTTCTCTTATTTGCCAGGCACCTCCAGTTCTCTTCCTGTATGTTGCTGTAAGTTAGAAAAGTCCATCTATAGCTGTCTTAACCACACTAACCACGCTTTAATGCGGGTGCTATGCTTATTCTCTAGGTATGTGGCAACACCTCCAGTTTGACAGTTATTAAAAATTGTAGTAAAAACTCCAGAATTATGTCCCATTCTTTTTATACATGCCTTGTTTCTCTGTGATGGCTTGCTTCCACTTTAGACACAAACTTCCCTTTCTACATATGCTATCAGTAGCCAGATGCTGTATTTCCTATTATTTCATATTACTCTCCTTACTGAAAGCTGAAGCAAAACATCCATATATTTTTGCAGCCATAAATTATTTTCAGTCTCAATTTCAGCCTCACTAATAGACCTTTTCTGTGCCTTGCAATTCCTACCTGTCCAAAATTCCATCCCTCTTCCTAAATGCACTGGAGTCTTGTGGACAGAAAGACTAGTTGGAAAAAAAAAAATCACTGGAGATTTTATTGTTGTTCTCTTCAGCAACAGCAATACTTTTGTTTTTGTCCAACACTCCCCCTCTGTAATTCACATCGATTCAGGCAGCTCAGAAAAACCCTCATGTGGTTAAGTTTCAGATACAAGAGGAAAATTTCTGTAATTTACCACTAAAGACATTCTTTGTGCTGTCTATGAGCAACCAATACCCTCAGACTGAAATATTCCAATATGTCTCTCTGCTATGGAGTAAAGCATTCTTGGGGACCAAAAAAAACCCCAACAAAAAAAAACCCCAAACCCCAAATCTGTTACCTTAACTACAGCTTAACTAAAATCGCTTACAAAAGTCCAGTAGGCCACCAAAATGACAAAGGCAGCAAAGTCTTTAAAATCTGTTGTGTTCTCCTAATATTGCACACCCACATTCCCATGCATAAACCCAACTGTTTTCCTTTTCTAGAGGGAAAGTAATTTTGGATGAGCTAGCAGAAACTCTTTGTGGAGTCTCTGCTCACCCCCAGCTATGTGGCTTTAGAACTGATTCCCCTCAGCATGACTCCATTTCAGATACAGACTGAAAGAGTCCGATCAAGGAGAACTGAAAAAGCATTTTGTATATGTCACTGTCATTTCTCTTCCCTGGATCTGGCACCTCCTTTGCATGAACGTAGTCCTGGTCAAAAAAAATTTCTTGAACACCAGAATACCTCATGATAATGTGGAAGGATTCCTCCTCTACGCCACAGTTAGGATCTGAGAGACGACTGATTATGTCTGGAAGCAGGTTATAGATGGCATTACCCTGTGCAGAATACAAGGTTCTACATGAGATACACAATTATGAAGAACAGCTCAAGTCAAGCCAAATAAGCTGCCCACTTAGAATTACCTCCTTTCTCCCCACCTCAAATCTACTGACTGAAAACATCAGCTTTTTGAAACGAGCTGTACACAGCCAGCCAAACCTATCCAGGACTACTTGGCTGAAGCTAAGAGGGGAAAACCCAACCAACCAACAAGATAACAACAACTGCAACCCTTGGTTTGCAACAGATCTGCTCTTTAGCAGACTTGGATGCAGTTTCTTTGCTTTCCAACCTTGTCACAACCCCACACAAAAGCTTCCTGATAAAGGAAACTGACACAGCAGTTCAGCTCAAGGAACTGCATCCCATCTTGCCTGAAGAGGCCCAATCCAGGTTCCTCTTCCCACTGCTTTTTCATGGTTTTATCATAGACGCTGCAGATAGTGCAGTCAGGTGGCCAGCTCTGCTTTTAACAGAGCAAGCCAAGATAGTAAAGCCCCAGTATCACTGCACTGGTTTGGAGCCTGCTTTCCAATGTGAATGGATGAGGTCAAATTCAGCAGCATCAGGGTTGAAATAAACCCCATGTTGCAAAATTTCTTTTATCTACCCTCATTTAGGCAACAAAGAGGGAGAGACAGTTGCTCCACATCTTCTCTAGGACTCAACTCTTGTGTCGTTGACCCGGCCTCCACCAGCCCTTCCCTACTCTTGTGAGCTAAGGTCCCTGAGCATCCACTTGCCTTGTTGGAGAGTTCACTGAAAAAGTTCTGAGCCACTCCCATGATTGCCTCCTCTGGGTCTACAAGCAGAGTTGCCATTTCGCTCACTTGGCCCTTCACTTTTACCATGTCTTTGAGGATGAGGTGAGTCATCACCAGTCCAGCCGTCTGCCTCACGCTTGGGCAGGGGTCCCGCAACCTGACAGAAGCATATAGTTACCACAGACAGCAGCTGAGTATGTCTAAGTTACTGATACCCATGACAGCCTACTCCACAGCCCAGGTCTGTTATCTGCCTACACTGACACCTTCAAATTTGTTTTCCCGGGTCATTCTCACCTTCCGGAGGTCCAGTGTCACCCTTCCACAGAGTTCTCATCACTTGTGGTCTCCCAGCAACAAGTGTAGCATTACCTGGCATACAGATGTGATGTCCAAGGCTCCACCAGGTTGGGGAAACGGATGGCCAGATCTCCTGCTGCAATAATGAGGTTGGATCTCACACCGGGCAGAGTGGACTTCTCCATCATAGTGAAGAGCAGACGCAAGTGGGAGTCACAGAACTCAGAGCTGATGAGATAGGGTACAGAAAAGAAGGCATAGATACCAAAATTCCATATCTCAGAGCAGTGAGACACAAAATAACCAAACAAAAACCATCCACAAAAAACAACAACCCAAAATCTATGAATGCTTTTTTGCGTTTGCTCTCTCCATGGGAAAGGAGTTGCAATGTTTGCTTGTGCGTTAGTACTAGGAAGGCTGGGAAGAGAACACCAGCACAGCTAGGTATTACCTGATCATGCAGACTTTGCCAAGAGTCAGGGCTGCAGCAGCCGAGAGTGCCGAATCACTGTAGAGCCCAGGGTTGTTGCAGATCTTGAGCACCAGTGGAACAAAGGCAGAGAACAGGTGCTTCCCTAGAGAGTGGAGATAAAGACTGCAAGCATGAGAGCACTATTTGTGCATCCCCCTTTAAGAAGAGTTACTCAATTTATCCCAGAACTCCTGCAGACTACAGAAACTGGTTGACTCACTCTCACTGTTGAAAAACCACCTCCAGAGAGGCAGAGCAAAGCCTACATAGAAACTGACATTGGACAAAAATGAGTGTTTCCTTCTGAAGGAAACAGCTTTCCTCCTTCTGCATCTGTTACCCACCGTACCTGTTCTTTTACACAGGCAGATGGAGCCGAGCGCTCCTTGATGGCAGCCACGCTTACCATCTAGAAGTTCTGTCTCACAAATACTGCGGATGAGCTCAGCCTCGGTGTCATCAGCTGAGGCTCCCACGAGGCCCAGCTCTTCCTCCATAGTGGTCTCATTTCCTGTGCTCTGTGCAGAGAGGAAGACTGTGAAAAAGACGAACGGCAACAATAACCCTTCACAAAGTGCTCTTCTCTCGGGCAAGAGGTACACATATGTTACCAGCAGCATGACTAGAGTTGAGAACAACAGACTGACAGTTTTATAACCCACTTTTCCCTGAGAACTGGATGAAGCTGTGAAGGGTAGTCCAGGATTTGCCAGTCCACGTGCCACAGAACACCAATGAAAAGAAAGCCTAAGCTACTAAGCTGAGACATAGGACACATCTGCCATCAATGCCCAAGTCCAACACAACTTAAGGGACAAGTGAATCCTAAAAGCAAGAAGTTCAAAGCAGCCTCTGAATTGCTGGTCTTGTGAGTGAGATTATGGGAAACCTTATAGCAAGGCAAAAGCAACACAAGGGAAGAAGAGAGACGTGGGCATTGCACGGAGACCAAATCTGCATCCAACTGCTGCTTCTTGGAAAATCTCATAGTAACCTCCTCCTGTGTGGGAAACGGTAGTGACACTGATAAGCAGGGTGGATGAGGAAATGAACTACAGATGTCTCTGGACATAGCAGCACAGGCATCTAATAGAGACTGGATACCTAGGGGCACACAACTTTTTTCTCAATTCTTTCCCAAGAAAGTCAGCCTCACCACACTCTGGAAAACGTTCTGGGGTAGATCTAACCAAACAGGGTATTTCTATCATATAGATCCCATTAAGAAGGTTACTATTAAAAACTTTCATCATTATTATCTGAGAGAGGATAGGACCCTCAAGCCCTATGGACCAAAAGTTCCAGAAGCCATTTTGCAAAACTCAGGACACAAATGGGTGTTCTTCACCACTAGCAGCAATTGCTAAAGATTGCACTGGTAAAAAAGGAGGCGATGAGTGGAAAGGAAATGTTTGCCTGAAGCAAGAAGATAAGCATGGCCAGGACATCACCCTTCGTTCCCTCCCCTCTGCCTGTCCAAAACTCAAGAAGAGTGAGAATTTTATTGAACAGGGTCATTCAAGGACCTCAGCTCTCCCTGTCAATGCTGACCAACACACGTCTATTTCTATTCCCAAAGTGCGCATTACCCTGGACCTCATGCATCCTCAGGAGTGCATTTTCCAGAAGTTTGCTGTGGCAGTAAGTGGGACACTTGAAGAGCTTTCCACAGGAAAAAAATGCTCAGTTCTCACCTGGGGTCTCTGCTTCTTCGCACTGCTGTCAGAATGCTTCTTGGTTTTCTCCTCCTCTCTGAGGATGCGGCGTCTGCGTAGCTCAGCACTCACTGACACTTCCAAATATGCTACCTGCTGCAGTGCCACCTGTCCCACAAGGGACACCAGGTGTTTGAATGTGGGGAGACTGGTAGCACCATCAGAGACTCTGCTGGGAGAAACCCCTGCATCTAGTGGAGAAAAATTACTATGGTTCAGTGTTGATCTAGACCTCTTCCCCCATTAGTTACTGCCCAGTCTCACTGTATAACCCATCTCCACACTTCACAGACTCCTTCACAGCACTTGCACCCTTCCACGCCAACACCTCCACTAGCCCCTCAACTCTGTTCTCCTCCTGCAGTTGCTCTAGGCCACCCAATCGCAGCACTAGAAATCACAGGTACAGATTTCCTTTGCCAGCTTTCTTCCTCACCAGCTTTCTGCCCATCAGCCTCCTGCAGCTTGTCCAGCACCTGCTGACTGCACATCTGCAGGATGTGAGCACATATCTCCTCTGGTCCTTCTGCTAGCTGGTAGATGAGCATTACCGCTGCCTCCATGAAGGGGATCCAGTGACCACTTGGCTGGACAAAGCCTGATGTACAGATTTCCTTTGCCAGCTTTCTTCCTCACCAGCTTTCTGCCCATCAGCCTCCTGCAGCTTGTCCAGCACCTGCTGACTGCACATCTGCAGGATGTGAGCACATATCTCCTCTGGTCCTTCTGCTAGCTGGTAGATGAGCATTACCGCTGCCTCCATGAAGGGGATCCAGTGACCACTTGGCTGGGCAAAGCCTGAGGAGAAGAGGGAGCCATGTACCACACACACCAGCATCACCACAGGCTGTCTCACAGCCCAACTCCATCTCCTCCAAACCTACTGCTGACTTGAGCTCACCTTTACTCACAGTCTCACTCAGGCACCCAAAGAGCATGTGGTCCTGTGGCAGTCGAAAAGGCGTGTTGTTCTTTTCCAGTGCTGGCTGCAGAGAGAACAGATGAGTTACTCTTCGCACATAAGCAATCCCCGCATGCCCTTCCTGGTACTTAACTTTGCTATGTGCACAATGCTGGTCAAACCCATGCTATGTCCCAAAGCAGGGACATCCAGTACTGCTCTGCAACTAAACACACAGCAAGGACATTACTGTCACTTCTGAAGGCATGGTGACAGCACTGGGTGGATTTAAAACTTGGCCAAATGAGGATCCCAGGCCAACCCAGACAGTTCCACTATTTCACCTTAAATCAAATTAACTTTTGAAATCTCAAAATGACTCTTTTTAAATCTGGTATTATTAACTCATTCCACAATGAATGAAGAGGGAGGCCTTTAGAGCATTTCCAGAGTTATCAATAGTAGTCAACTAGATGCCCTTGCCTATGGGTACTCCAGAACCATGAGGTTTTGTTTAAAGGCAAAATATCATCAGTAGAAATGACAGAGGATAGCTCTGGATCCAACACCACCTCACACTTAAGCTGTTGCATATGCTCTGTATCAGTCCCACCACATTTTAGGTTGGGAATAAGGTAACCCAGATAACTACTAAAAAAAAATATGATGATGCCTGAGATATCCCAGCACATCTGTGGCTGCCTGATCAGGATATACTTGACCAAAACAAGCTACTGCTTGAGCATTTACCAGCTTTCCGTAGCTGGAAACAAAATTTCTCAATTCACTACAATCCTACTCTATGTGCTCAATTTCTGGTTGTGGGGAGGAGGGGAAGGAAGAGCTACCACAGTCATTCAAGTATCTGCAGTTCAGTGTCCCTTCTCACATACAAACTCAACTGCAGAGTTCAGTCAAACTAAAATTGAATTACAACCATCTTCAGAACATTTAATTACACATTAATTCACGAAGACCCTGCAGTAACATCCCCAGCAGAAGGGGCCAATGCAGAATGACGGTGCTGTGTGAAGGAGGGCTGCTTTTATGCTGGAACTCCTGAACCAAAATGCACTAAATGCCTAAGTCAAAAAAACAAAGAGGTGGGGGTTTTTTTCTGAGTGCATGGAAAAAAAAAAAGTATAAATTGTTCCCCAGACAAAGCAGCCATCAACCATCATGAAAAGTACAACATGGGCAAGTTTGAAAACGTTTCATGTTTTGTATTCAGCTGTACAGCTGACAACTCCCAAATATCAATTAATAGGGAGGGCAAAAGAATCATACCACCAGAAAACATCAGTAGAGGAAAGGCTTCATGGCTGAAGAAACACAAATCAGCTTAGAACTGGGAGTCTGAGGAAGAGAATTGAAAGAAAAACAGATTTTCTTGTGCACTGAACTCTTTACTAATTGAATTCAGCCTGTTGCCTAATGAAAATTCTTTTATTACATGTTCACTGATGTGTGCTAATCTTTCCAGACAGTGCTGCTGAATGGTCTCAACCTACTTAGTTTCAAAATCAGTAAAAACTTAATAATTTCTCTCCCTTCTCAATACAAACTATTTCCCGATAACTCAGCTGGTTTCTGGATAACCTCAAGAACAAGCTAAGAGTCTTACCTTAGGGTTACTGGCAAGTTTGGAGATCGCATTGCATACTTCTTGAGCCAGGCGATAGTCTTCACATACCTTCTCAGACAGCCCTACTGTCACCAAAATGTCCAGGTTGCTACCTATGATCTCTGGCTTCCCTCTGTGGAATGGAAGGGATGGGAGATGATATTTCAGTTGCTGCTGAAAGTTTACTGAAGTATGGATAACCAATAGAAATACTCCTTGTGCCTTGTGGAAGGCAGTGGTTTGAGTAAGAGGGGAAAACAAATAAAAATTCATCCAATGACTCAAGATATAGCTACAGGAGCGGCAAGCAATATTCCACAGAAGCCAGTATAATCCACGCTCCACTAAGAGATGAGGTTCTCCAAAGTGAACAACCCCAGGCACACTGTCTCTTTGTAAAGAAAGAGGATTCTTGACTCTTCTTTCTTATCAGAAAGCAGCAAAACTTAAAAGGGTAAGGCAAAGAAAAATGTTGCAAACAGTCCAGCAGCTCAGAACTGGTGGTGTGTGACACTTCCTCCCCTACTGTAGGAAACAAACCAACACCACCTCACTCCCTTTTTACCTCTGAAAGGCAGAATTATGCAGGCCTGGTCTGAGGAATATACAATTAACTGAGTGAAGACGGCAAGAACAGAACGTAATTTATTTTAAAAGAGCATCTAAAAAGCTTATAACGGGCATTTATAAGACAAAAATAAAATCATGTCCCTTAGCAGATTTGTGACGAAGGCAATGCTGTTCTTATTTCTAACCCATGGTCTCAACACAGGATCTCATGGGATACCCCGGAAACCTACAGTTTTCTTTAAATCCAATTATTTTAGGGAAGGATATTAATTTTGAAACGACGCCTACAATTCTGCCGCAAGCAAGGGGGATGAGGTGGTAGAAATACCTTGGAAGGAATATCTAATACTCAAATTGCAGAACTGGCTGCAAGCTCCAGAAACAGCTCCAACTCTAGAGCCAAGAATTTTAAGATCATTATTATATGCAGGCCTATTTTTGACTGATGAGGGCCTGAAGTAGAAAGAGCAAGAAGAAATCACCAGATAAGATAAATGCCAAAGGGTTACTGGGCTGGGAACTTAGGAAATTAAATTACACTCTTTGCCCCCAGAAAGGGAAGCAGATTAATTTCCCTCCATGCTAAAGGCTCCAGACATCTCTAGTCAGCAGCTTCTTGCTGTTCTTATCCAAACACAGATGAAGCTGCAGAGCTGTGACACGGTAAAGTCTGAGAAGGGATGGATATTCAGAACACAAAGAAAGCAACGTTGTCATACTCATTCAGAGACCGTGCTGGTGGGACCCAGCACCAACTATATTTAATTTCAGGCTTTGTTACTCCATGACATGGTTACTATTTTTGAAGCTGCAGAATAAAAGGTCAGCTGATGCAGCACGCACAGTTCTTCGACAGAAATCAACTCCCCATACATCCTCCCACTCACAGGATTAGACCAGGCCCTTGGGCTCACCGTGCCATCATCCCCAGCAGCATCACAGCAGCACGTTGTTCTAGCGATGAGCACTGAGATTTTTCTGTGAATCGCTCCCAAAGCAGCTGGATCACAGCAGGCTTTATTTCACCTTTCTGCACAAACTCTGAGATCTGGAAAAGAAATGCAATAAAACAAGTCGGAAGAGGCAGAGGAGGATAGACTTCAAACCAACAAAGACATTAACTGCAATGACTACCATTTTAATATAACTGATGTCTAAGATGACAAATACAATCCAAACCAAGGCAAGGCAATACTCACTATTTCTTCTAAGCACTGTATCGTTCCTAGCGATGCATCCACCATGATGAGAGAGAGAGAATGTACCAGGCTTTGGGCCCTGGCCCTTTGAAGGAAGAAAAATAAAGTAATTTAAAAAAATTTAAAAGGTAAAGAAAAAGCAACTATCACAATTACTCTCCTATTCAGAGAGCTGAGGACACCTATTAGATAACAGAGCTGATCCCTAGGGACAGGAAAACTTCCCCCTCTGCACGCTGGAGTTCTCCAAGTCACCCCACTCAAGTGCCAATGAGCCATGACATGGGCTCAAAAGTCTACTGCCTTGTGCACTGCTGCTCCTCCTGGTACTCAAAGACCCAACAAGAGGCACTCGCCAGCCACTTCCCAATTTGCTCTCAACCACAAGTCAAAGTCCTTTTCCATACAGCACAAGGAACTGGAAACCTTTCTATGAACAAATAAGGCCAGAGCTCAAACTGCAGGAGACTCATCTCCCAGCAATACTATCAAGAAGAAATAAGAAGCAGTGGGTGCTTTTTATTGCCCTGACAATGAGGGTGAGGTATGGTGCATCTCACCAGGGATTACACTTATCTTAGTAAATAGGATTTACATGTCGGCAAGCGGTAAGAAAAACGAGCAAGTGCCACAGTAGAGAGAAGACACAGCTCCTCTCTAGTGTGGAAGACACAAGCATCTAAGTGGTACCCAGCTCCCACCTCCAAATCCTCAATAAGGATCAACAACAAAGACTCTGTTAACATCCTCTCATCTGCCACATGTGGAAGTTTGTTACAAAAAGATTTAAGATTGGTCTAAATGAAATACAAGGAGAAACACCCAAATAATAATAATAATAACTAACCTTGTATAGGGTGAGGGAAAAAGAAACAGTGTATATTGAAAAAATCAAGGCCACAGCTGACAGTAAGAAAACCAGTAAACACTGACAAATGTGTTGTTTACATCAGAAGCATAATGCCTACACTCAGATAAGGTCACAGCATGCATGACATGTCAGCAAAAAAACCTGAGCTCTGGTAATAGAAAGATACCTCCTACTTCAGACCACACCGTATACCATTCCTCTTACTATCCCAACAGGATGAGCAACTACAGCCATAAGAAACCCATAGGGAATAGACACTGGGCAACAATTTTTCCCACAGAGGGTAAAGTATGCAAGGTTCTTAGACATGGGATGACCCCATAACAACAGTTGACTCCCAAAGGAGTTGAAATAGCCGTCCAAAAAAATCAGTTCATTGTTGCCAATCAAAAACCCCGCTGACATGACGCACATTCATAACTGACATCCCTTGTTCCCTATCACAGAGGGACCCTACCCAGATCGTTTGGGCACAACGTATCTTGGTGCAGTGCTTTGTATGACAGTGAAATTTATAAGAAAGTTAAGTGTGAGTGCCTGATACCAGTTTTATTTGAAATAATTCTCAGCTTTTCCTTCCATAAGATCCCACATGGAGTTTTGCTGCATAAATTTCCTACATCTGAACACAATGACAAACTAAGAGCAGACGCTCAGCAGTAGGTCCCATAGGATGACCAGGATACTCACTTATATGTGAAAACATCTTGGAACTGCACAAGTGTTGGTAACAGCTCAAAGAGAAAGCATCTTTACTAATAGACACAAACCTTACGTTTCAGCTCAGCGTGAAGCGTGGCAATTTTGATTTCTCTTCCTGTCTATAACCCATTCCCAACAGATCCCCAAAAGAAGAAACAGAGGAGGGAAAAAAACCCCTTCTGATTAGGAAGGCCCATACCTCTCCGAATCCCCGCTGGGGCTCAGATAGAGCTGCCTGTAGGCGTTCAGCACGGCCTCCTTAATACCAGGCTCTTTTGACCATATGAGGGGGAGCATCCTGCGGACTCCAAGCAGTGCCTGGGGCACACCAAACTGCGAGACTGTCACAAAGAACTCAATGGCTTCCTGCACCACTGCAGAGAGAACAGGTGTGTTAGTGCAGTTCTTTGCTTGTCCTCAATTAGTGAGGCCATTAAAACAAATTCATAGGTGTACTGCTCTCACTGCAAGCCTTATAATCATCTAAGATCACTGCTACTGTCTACAGAGAGCTCAAGTCAGAATGAGGTCACTAGTACAAAGATGTAGATGTTCTGGAGGAAATAGACACAGGTTAACATTACTACAGCTAAATCTAACATAATACATTTAGGAGACATGGCCTCTGTGCTCTTCTGAGAAAGAACAAAATTCTCTTCCGGGAAACAATAGCTTTGGAAAAAAAAGATCTCGTGGTTACAGCGGACAAGAGCAGCTGCACGTAAGTCCCAGTGTGATGCTGTAACCAGAGGAACTAAGCTATCTGATGTATAAATGAGGTAAGGAATAATGTCTTTGATTCCAGCTTGATTAGTTCTGAAATATACTGCCCAGTCTTCTGCTCATAAGACAAGAAAAAACATTAAGTTGGAGAACATTCACAAGAGACCCACAGTAATGATTAGAGAGACTGTACAATGAACAGTTCATAGAGTCTGACCTCTGGTCAAGCGGGAGTTTAACCAGTATAAGCCCCAACTTATAAATCTGAATAAAGATCCCCCATCAGACAAGCTGGTATGCTTACACTGCCTCCAGTCACACTAAAAGATACATATTTGCAATAGGAAAAAAAAATAAAATTAAATATTTAAATCTTAAATCTTTAATTAGAAGAACCTAAATCTGAGCATACACATCCCTTAAGACCACCCCCTCACTCAGCAGCAGACTGTCTCCAAATGGAGAAAATGTCTCAAAATGTCTTAGCTGTCCAGACACCCAACTTGCCTTCCTTATGCTACAGCATAGGGCAACAGGGAGGTGGAAAGTTACTAAAATCTGTGCAGCTATATATATATAAAAAAAACCCCAAAACAAAACACGAAACCCCAGGTGTTTAAGTATCAGGTGAGGGGCACCCTCTCGGCCTTGAACTTCAAGTGTCTTGTAAAGACACTGAGCTCAGGAGTTCATTTTTGTGAACAAAACATTAGCAAACAGCTAATGACATCCAAACCTTGCTGGGGAAGCCCACATGCTTATTACAGGTAACATATGAGTTCTCAATACAGATGAAGCTTCAGAAGTGTTTGCATGAAGCTGGGACACTGCGGTGTACCCCAGAACTATGGGAGGAGTAGTTGGCAAGTGGATGTACCAGGGAGGATGGGAGAGGAGGGAGCTGTGCTCGGGGGTGCTGATTCATGATAAGCACTTAAAAAAAAAGAGTCTAACTGGTTACAGTAGTTCTAATATTGAATATTAATAGCTGAATTAACTCAAAGGCCTTACTCATTACCACCTTTACAGTACTGAAAAGGACCAGGCCATAGAACCTGTTGATCAAGATCGCTATTAGCTAGGGAATAAAGCTTAAGGAAAGGTGAGGCAGACAAGACAAGCTGCTCAGTTCCCCTCTTCCGGCCAGCATAACATTTGAAGCTGTATCAGGGCACTGAGCAGGTAATGGAACCCAGCTTCATTGGCCATGCTTACTTTGGGAGAACCTCAGCTCAGATGATGAACACACATCCCCTCCCACAGGATGGGGGGAGCCTCCATAAATTAAGTCATTTTGGTCACCTGGCTTTTAAAAACATTGTCAACCTTGATATTTAAAAGATGTATTCCTAAAAAGCTCATTCACGCCCTAACACAACCTCTTCATGACTGACACCCATTTAGATGGTGCTTGCTGTTCCAATATCCTGGAAGTGCCTGTGACATCTGCTCAGTGAAGAGCAGCCTCTCCAACCTTTTCCCCTTCCCCTGGAGCTCCAGCACTCCCACGTCTCCTCTTCAGCAAAAGGAAATACTAGGAAACGCTGACTGGGGAAGAAAGGGCCCCCTGGCTATTTCACATACCTGAGGTACAGTTTTCATACATCATCTTGCTGATCAGGCTCAGGGCTTCTGTGATTTTCACCGAGAAGTTGTAAGCATCTTGCAGGTACTGCACCAACATCTCCTGTTTGACCAGCTCTGTTTGAGGCTGCTCTTCTGCTACAACTTCTTGAGTCTTAAGACTACTGTCGCCACGTGGAGGATCCTCACTGTTTTCACCTGGGCATGAACCTGCACAGCACAAACACTTGATTGTAAGCAGTATTGAAGGTACAAGAGAAACAGGCATGGTTCAGGATAACCCTTCTCTTTCTCTCTCCAGCCCACAGTGACACCTTCCAAGAGCCAGACTTCCACAGAAATCCAAATTCTGCCATCAGACTTAGCTACAAAGACAAAATCTCAACATGCTGTAGAACAAGTTCCAGTACTACAATGTGATGCACCACAGAAATGCCAACTTAATACAGGGGTGGAGAAAGGCATGGTCCGGTTGGAACCATTTAAACTCCATTAAAATGCTGAAGGGGTTAATCTGAACTTGACAGCTCCCCAAAGATGGATGAGGCCCTTAAAGGGAATCAGGGCAGAGTAAGAAGGAAGCAAATACTACTGCTCTCTAGCAAAGTTTGTGCAAGTGTGGAGAGTTGACAAAGTTAAGAAGATTAAATTATTTAGACGGTAGCCTTTTGATAGAAATGAGCTCAAGCGGATTGGCTAGAAAATCTTACTCTGAAACAAACACCAAAGATAAAGCACGTGAAGTCTTAAAAATATGCCCAGAGGCTTGAGCCCCAGATAAGCAGACTTTGCTTGAAGCAGACCCTTGGTCAAGGCCTCTAGGGTGGCATTATGTGCCACCACCTGTTCAGGAAGCAGAACTCCAGACAAATTCAGACAGGACAGAAGGGTATGAGTGAGTAACACTGGCTTTGCTCCTCTCAGCAGATATTATGTGAGTTAAAGCATCAGAAATTCACTTCTAGTGGGAACATGGAGCTATTCCAACCAGAAATTAAATAACAGGACTGCTGTGATCCAGCCAAAACGTCAGGCCACTAGATGAGTGAATGATCCAGAGATGATGCAGCTCTATGAGACTGAGCCCCACAGGTCAGAAGGAAGGACAGGGCATTCCAGAGGGTTTTGGTCTAGCTCTAGCATCAACTTGGACTTAGAGAAGAGACAGAGTGATCTGAAATAGTTACCCATGTAAAGTCTCTTCAGAACACCTAGGATTGTTGCCTCCTCATTTTCCTCTGTAGGGCCACTGAAGGGTTCTTTCCCCTGGAAGCGACACAGGGCCTTCTGCGTAAGGCGGGCTGCACTCCTGTACAATGATATAGCCCAAGAGAAGAACATCAGCAACCCCTTAGGGCAGAACACAAGGGAAACCATCCAACTTTGCCCTGAACACCTGGAAAAGCAGCTCCTACCAGCATCTTGGGCCCCTTTTACCCTTCTGATTCTCTCCCTCATCCCACTGGGAGGGAGAGAATGAGCCACTGTGTGGTGCTTAGTTGCCAGCCGGGGTTAAACCAAGACACCATGTCAATCTCTTCCTACAGAGTAATGTTACTGGAAATCATCCCTCTACCCTGGAGCTCAAACGTTTCTCAAACAGAGAACTGGAGACTGACATACTCCTTGGGAAAAACACTCTCTCAAACTACAGAGCCCTCTTACTTGTAATTCAGCTTCCTCAGCAGCCTAGTGATTTGCTCCGATGCATTCTCCACTGTTTCCTCAACTTCCAGCACCTCCTCTTCCCCTTCCTGCAGTGGTTGAAAGAGCTGCTGTGTGGCAGCCCTAACTTCAGGCAGCATTGCTTCCCATTCTTCCTCTGTGGTGATTGCTGGAGCTATTAAAAAAAACCCAACAAACCAAACAACAGAGAGAATGAAGAATACAGATTCAAATGACACTCTAAGTGGGGAGAGAAACTCATCTGGAACTTAGGAATTCTAGTTCCCCTCCCTGGGCTATTCCAATTGCTGATCCCACCCAGACTGCAGTTAAGAATAGACAAAAACTCTTTGGCATAAAAAGAACCCACTGAGGGTAAAAATAAAAAAAATATATTGATAGGTAAGAGAGAACCATCAGTTGCTATTTAATGTTTTGTAGGGCAACATCAAGTCCAAGGCTAATCAAGTTTAAATTAGTATCTAACCAAAATTATGGCTCAAGCAGTCCCTGAATGGTTGAAAATGGAAACCTGGGAGGGTGTTCATAGGTATTTTCAGTTGTTACCCTGAAAATAGGATGTTTAGCTAAATGGACTGTTGATCTAGATATGGACATTCATATGGTCCTTTTATAACACCACAGTATGAAAAACTGTTATGAGTTTAACCCCAGTCATCTGGCCTCACCATCTCACACGAGTAAGATCTGAGACAAAAGCCACCATAACCTGGGAGCAAATTTCAGAATAAATAAGCCCTGGTACGGGGAAAGAGGAAGGGAAGTTACCTGCTGTAGATCTGTCACGGTCCCTCATTTCTTGCAGCTTTTGCACCTCCTTCTTCAGCGGCTCGGCCAAGTCAGTACAGCTTAACTGAAGATGCCAGGAAGAGAAGAAGAAATATGTTACTTATCTTCCTTTCTCTTCCACTCCCTGCTTTAAGTTGTCAATCCCCTCACAGAACCCTGCTTTTGGAAACTGGAACAGTAGACTCTGGTCATCATCCTAGAATGGGAACTGCTGTAAATTGCCAGTCTGAGGCTCAGAAGCTCAGGAGAAGGTGCAGCTAAACACAAAGAGCTGCAGCTCTGTGCAGAATGTTCCAAAGGACTAATTCTGATCTTAAGGAAATAAACCCCACAGCGTATTCCTATCAAACTGCTGCAGGTTTTTCCACAATCAAACACATCGCCCCTGGCCTTCAGCATACCTACCAATTGCACCAAGCGGGGAAAGAGACAGAGAAAGCAAGATCTGAACTTGGGAAAACCACCTGCAGAGTCAAAGGCTACGTTGTCCCTCCCACAAAACACAGAAAGGCTGCTGCCCTGGCTGTAGCACACTGCAGATATTCACCCTGCAAACAGACGTCTAGCATATCCACCACGCTAGTCAGAATTACCTTGCAGGAGAAGGGATTGTTGGACAAAAACGCAGCCAGGAGCTGGATCGCATTTTTAACTACTACCACAGATTTGTCTTTGAGACGCCCAACAGCCAGCGATACCACAGAGTGAAACTGAGTCAAAGGCAGGGCCTAGCACACAATGAGAGTATAGACAAAGTTATCAAGAAGGCCTAGAGAGTCATGAAAAGTTATTTTACTGCAGACATATTAATGGACTAAAAGGCACAGATTATAGATTTATACAAAAGTCTAGGTCCGAAGGGACCTCTGGATATCTTCTGATCCAATCTCTGTTGAAAGCAAGAACTTAGATTAGGATATCCAGAGTCCTGTCGAGTCAAGTCTTAGTATACCTAGTGAGGGTGATGTTTTCCCATACCCATGTCCAAAAAGAGCTTGCGTGCTCTGCTCTTCCTTCTAGTCTGTCCCAGTAATAAAGTGTAGCATTTAATTTCTGTTCCCCAGCTCCCTCACCCCCAGGATCTTTGGTCTCTTGGGAAAAAGAAATTGCAGACACCACAGTATACAGGGACAATACCTTACTCTGTTAAACTTCAGTCTCTGCAAACAAAGAGCAAGGTGGCAGAAACTCCCTTAGAAAATGCAACAGAGGGAGGGATGACTGAGGCAACGCCACTCCCCAGCACAGATGTACCTTGCACCGAACGATTCGAGTGAAAAGCTGCAGCACGCGGCTGCGCACAAAGCCATTGACGTCACAGATGTGGGCCTGCAGCATATTCAGGAACTGGTCCCGAGTACCACGGGCAGCTTCCTCCAGCTGGTCACCATTCAGCACCTGCACCAGCACTTCTGCCATAGCCGCCAGAATGGCATTTCGCAACATATAACTCTGCAAAAAAGAAGAGTTTTTGAACCAGGAACAGATAAAACCACATGACTTGCTATGCCAAGGGGAAGGATGGCCCAGAGTTTGGGCCTTCCAAGACCTTGGGTGAGCATGGCTGTGCATGCAAGGCAGAGTAATCCAATCCTGCTATCCAGCTAGGTCCACAGAAGCCAAAAAATGCTATGAGAAACGTGTATGGCTTTTAAGGGCAGTTTAAGAAAAGGTAACACAATGACAAATTCATTAAATACTGAAGAACAAGGGACAACAGCTGGGATATCAGACCAGTGAGCAGTCTCCCATTCTCTGATATTTGGGAGTGACAGTCAGACAGTAGATGTCATGGTTTCTGTTTCCTTTGCATCTATTAGGTAAAGGCAGAACCTATTCCAAAGGACAAGTTTTGGCAACTTGATCTCTGTGAAAGAGGTTCTGTTTTCAGACAGAAAAACAGGATAGCAGCACCTCCACCACTTCACTTCTCCAGACATGTAATACTGTGGAAACGTACCTCCCCATCCAAGTGATGCAGGAGAACACTCATGTTGGATAGCACCAGAGCTGGAATCTGTTCAGCCAGTTCAGTTATAAAGGTGGCATAACCCTTGATTCCAGAAGCATCACGAACCAGATCCTGTGGACATTTCTGTCCGATTTCCCTGCACAGAAAGGTGAAACAAGGAATAGGGTGCCTCGAGTTGCTAGGGATGGAAGGATAAGCCTTGGGGTATTTTTCTCACCTTAGCAATTCACCCACCAGGCTTTTCAGACCATACTCTGAGACCCAGAGGCTCACAGCCTGCGCAAACACTGGGGCTACATGTTCAAAGTGCTGCAGCATCTGCGTGATCTTCAGCGTGGCACCTTTCGCATGTGAGAAGGAAGAAAGAGGTCAGGGAAAGTAACTGGGAATGGCTTCAGGAAGAGGGCAGAAGAGCAGGAACTCACTGAACATGTGATCATAGTGAGTCAGAGCTGCAGCAAGCAGATGTGTCACAGCCTCTCTTGTGGCCCGGTACTTCTGGAGACCGATACTTGGATTCTCTAGGATACGGTAGCAGCTTCCTGTCATTAAGCTAAAGCCACAGAGGAGAGACAGTCAACCTCAGTATCACAACTTGCACCAACATCATTCTAGCACACTGTGCTAGACAGACATTTCTCTCAAATCAGAGAGATTCTCCAGTATCCTTAAAAAAGTGATCAAACAACATCTGAATTTGAGAGGCCTACATGAGGAAAGGAAGTGGTTCCTAAACATGTTGCTTCTGCCTCAAGATGGTTTCCTCAGTTTCCCAGAGATCTGCACCCTGCAGAGGGCTCTAATATCACCTCACTGGCAGATTTAACATTTAACCCTCCCTTCCAGAAAACCACCGTCACCCATCCCACCTCTACGTTGGTTGGATGGTCACATACAGAGGGTCGTGGTCAATGGCTCAATGTCCAGATGGAGATCAGGGACGAGTGGTGTCCTCAGGGGTCTGTACTGGGACCAGTACTGTTTAATATCTTCATCAATGACATAGTGGGATTGAGTGCACCCTCAGCAAGTTTGCAGATGACACCAAGCTGAGTGGTGTGGTAGACAAGCCTGAGGGACAGGATACCATCCAGAGGGACCTGGACAAGCTTGAGAAGTGGGCTCATGTGAACCTCATGAGGTTTGACAAACCTAAGTACAAGGTCCTGCGCACGGGTTGGGTATCAATACAGGCTGGGGGATGAAGGGATTGAGAGCAGCCCTGGGGAGAAGGACTTGGGGGTGCTGGTGGATGAAAAGCTCAACGTGAGCTGGCAATGTGTGTTCGCAGCCCAGAAAGCCAACCGTATCCTGGGCTGCATCAAAAGCAGTGTGACCAGCAGGTCGAGGGGAGTGATCCTCCCCTTCTACTCTGATCTTGTGAGACCCTCCTGGAGTACTGCATCCAGCTCTGGGGTCCTCAGTACAAGAAAGACATGGACCTGTTGGAGCGAGTCCAGAGGAGGGCCACAAAGATGATCAGAGCACCCCTCCTATGAAGACAGGCTGAGAGAGTTGGGATTGCTCAGCCTTGAAAAGAGAAGGCTCCAGGGAGACCTTATAGCAGCCTTCCAATACCTAAAGATGACTTAAAAGAAAGATGGGGGCAGGATCTGTTGTGATAGGACAAGGGGTAATGGTTTTAAACTAAAAGAGGGTAGATTCAGACTACATAGAAGGAAGAAATTTTTTATGAGGGTGGTGAAACACTGTAACAGGTTGCCCAGAGAGGTGGTAGATGCCCCATCCCTGGAAACATTCAAGGTCAGGCTGGATGGGGCTCTGAGCAACCTGATCTAGTTGAAGATGTTCCTGCTCACTGCAGGGGGGTTGGACTAAATGACCTTTAAAGGTTCCTTCTGACCCAAACTATTCTATGATTCTACATCCAGTCTATCCCATACCTGACAAACTCTTCTTCCACCACCAAACCACTCCAAAGTTGACGGAGATCCAGTTGCAGCAGCTGTGTGAGCAGCCGTAAGAGTGGTTCCCTCTCCTCTTCCCACAAGGATCCAGAGATCTTGGTACGGTTCTTCTTGTTCTAGAAAGGAGATTACACAATATGATACATTAGCAGCTAGACAACAGAAAAAACCCATCGCGATCCTGCTTCCCTCAAAAAAGAAAATGACTGTTAAATTCTACAGCATTAAGAGACATACAGTGAGATGTATGAGAAACTTAATATGCCTACATCAACTGACCATTGGTGTCATCTTTGACCACAGAAGAAAACTTGTGAAATTATTGGCACACAAAATATGAGCCAAACACTGAAGAGTGAAACAGAGAGGCCTAGGCATCTAAGCCCCTGCTAATGTTTGGACACATATTGCTAATGTTTGGACACATTTTCCATGTACAGTTTCGCAGAAATCCCAGTACTCCACATTATGCACTGCTCTAGCCAGCATCATCTTTAAATAAACCCAGCTATAACATCTGATAGATACCACAGAGTTCAGCAAGCTAACATGTTTTCTACTTTTATCATCTTGTTTCCCCCTCCAGTCCCCTCACCTACCTTCCCAGCAGGATCCACCACCACCAAACCATTCTTGCAGGTTTCCGTTTCATAGGCGTCCACCAAGCCAGTCAGCAAATAGCAGTTCATCTTGAGAGTGTTGAGGTGAGCAGTGCGGTCTGCATGGCCCAGCCCAGAATCACCCAAGATGGCAGAAAGTTCATTGGAATGATGGGACACCACTGAAGAGAGGCAGAAAGTCATGAGCACTCCTTGCCAGGCCCCTCTGCTGTCCTCTCTTTTGGAGACTTAGAGCAGTCATCAGATTACCAAAGACGTGTGCTCACATCTCACCAGCTGTAACATGGGCTGCCCCCTGCAACCCAAACCTCGGATCACTGTCCTGTCCTGTCCCCACAGCCCCCCATCAGCTCACAGAAACACTCACTCAGAGCTGATGCATCCCAAAGATGTATTTTCCAGGGACACGGGGAAGGGGATTTTCTGTCGGCCTGCCCTTACAGCGAACACGCACAGCTCTGCATTGTCCACCAAGATTACAGACCCGTATGACTGGAAGGGGCTGAAGGTGCAACCCAGCTGGTCGAGTCACATTAGCCTTTATATCATCATTGAGCTGCCAAAGGAAAGCAACCTCTCTATTACTCCCGCTTCAGCTGGAAACAACAGATACCCACCCTGCATCATCAGCTCCAGGGCATCCTCCTTGACAGCAGTCCCCACAGTTCGGAAGTGGCTGCAGGGCAAGCACAGCGCATGAGAGCGGCCAGTAAACACAACCAGAGAGAGGCGGGAGCC